ATGACTTGGCTCGGTGGCCTTAGGCCTTAAAGATCCGAGGGGGACGTTGTTATCGCGGACCCTGGGACACCGGTGCTTGTCCCGACCGGGCTAAGGCAGAAGAAGTGATTCATGGAATTTGGGGTCACCTGGGACAGAAAGAGACGGAAACATGGATGAGAAACATTGACTGGCTGCCTCCTGCACGCCCCCTGCTGGGGATCGAGCCCGAAACCCGGGCAGGTGCCCTGACCAGGAACTGAACGGTTGACGAACCTCTCGGTTCATGAATCAACGCTCACCACTGCACCACACTGGCCGCTGCCCACTTGTTAATTGGATTATTGGTTGTTGTTGTTTTGTGGGAGTTTTTTTGATGTTGAGTGTGGGGAGCCGATATAGGGTTAAGCCTCGGACTGACCTGTTGGCAAAGTCGCAAACAAGTCTTCTTCCGAGTCTTAACCCAATCCGACAGGTGGCCGCTGATTTACACGCGCTGTCATTTAAAAAATAAAAATGGGCCGAAACCGGTTTGGCTCAGTGGATAGAGCGTCAGCCTGCGGACTGAAGGGTCCCGGGTTCGATTCCGGTAGGGGGCATGTACCTTGGTTGCGGGCACATCCACAGTGGGAGGTGTGCAGGAGGCAGCTGATTGATGTTTCTAACTCTCCCTCTTCCTTCCTCTCTGTAAAAAAATCAATAAAATATATATTTTTTTTAAGAAAATGTAGCATTTTGACGAGCAGTGTTGGTCAGGGGAGAGGCTATGCATGTGTGGGGGTAGAGAGTATAACTGAAACCAGCCTAAGCAAGCCTCCAGTTCTTTTGCCTGCTGCCATGACGCCAAACACACCACACAGGTGCAGATGGAAGGAAAGTGGTTTATTCGGGTGCCGAAAGCCTGAGAGGATGGCAGGCTCCTGCCTCAGCAACCATCTCAACATCTCAGGATAGGCCAAGGGCGTTTATAAGGGGATCGTGGGAAGAGGGGAACGAAGGAATTGTGGTGACAAGCAGTTTCCCGTTTCAGCTCTCCGGTGGTTTTGATGCTCTCTTTCCTGTGTGTCGGTGTCTGGAGCTTTTTTCTCTCTGTGGGTTTTCTTGCTGATGTCCGGGGACAGGATGTTGCAGGCCTTGTCTGGGCCAGCATCTGCTGCACTCCTGTGGCTGAGGCTGGCCAAACGGAGAACTGAAACTGCCCCTGCCTGTAACGTGCTTAACTACAAAATGATGAATATTTTAGATTCTAAGTTTTGTCAGGATATTCTTATTTTTAATTCTTGGTAGTTAATGAAATGTGTTTATTAAAATATATTTTTACTGATTTCAGAGAGGAAGGGAGAGGGAGATAGAAACATCACTGTTGAGAGAGAATCATGGATCGGCTGCCTTCTACACGCCCCCCACTGGGATCAAGCCCACATCCCAGGCATGTGCCCTTGACTGGAATCGAAATGGGGACACTTCAGTCTGCTGGCCGAATCTCTATCCACTGAACCAAACTGGCTAGGGCTGAATTTTGTTTATTAACAAGGTATATATTAATATTAGACCACATAAGCTTTAAGGTAGAATTGCATTAGTAGAAATGAAGAGACATTTCATTCAAAACTGTATATTGGTTTGATATGATTCAAATCCACTTGTTTATGACAAAAATCAAGTCTTTAAGAATAAGATTGCTTGTCCTGGCTGGTTTGGCTCAGTGGCCAGAGCTTCGGCCTCTGGACTGAAGGGTCCCAGGTTCGATTCTAGTCACGGGCACATGCCTGGGTTTCGGGCTCAATCCCCAGTAGGGGGCGTGCAGGAGGCAGCCGATCAATGATTCTCTCTCATCATTGATGTTTCTCTCTCTCTCCCTTCCTCTCTGAAATCAATAAAAATCTATTTTAAAAAAATAAAAGAATAAGATCGCTTTGCTACCTAAGCCAAGTCAGTTGTGTCATCCCTTGTCCCTGATGAAGTCTGAGCAGCTCCGTTGCTAAGCGACTCCGCTGGGTTCTTATCAATTAAAATCCGGGGAGAAGCAGCTACGCCCACCGTGCATTTAGGCTACAAAGACGGAAAGTTGGGTTGGACCGAGTGCTCCTGGGCCAGGAGGCAGTGAGGGTCCGCGGCTGGGAGGCGGGGAGGACGCGGGAATGCCGGTGCCTGGGAGCACCCAGGGCCTGGGATATGCAAATCTGCTGGGGGCGGGGTCCGGCCCTGCGCTCCGAGAGGTCGGGTCCCGAGGGAGGGCAGGGGTGCGGTTCCCGGGGGTCCCCTTCCCGCGGGGCTCCTCCTCCTCCCCCTAACCCCCTAACCGGTCCATTTGGAGGAAGGGGGTGGGAAGCAGGTAGGCAGTGCCTGGGCGGGACGCCCCCCCTGCCTGCCCCGCCCGATCCCTCCCTCCTCCCGGGGCGGGGGAGGGGCGTTTGTATGGGTTTATTTGGTTCTTCTGGTTCGTTCGGTTCCAGGGCTCTTGTCCCCGCTCCGCAACCCTCCGGCGCCTGAATGAGCTCGTGCGCGGCGCCAGAAGC